CAGAAAAGAATTCATTTGAAACATTTTTCATCACAAATCTTCACAAATGCATTTGTCAGTCTTGGTTATTTCAAGGCTGAGAGTAGATAGTTAGGAGTGAGTGTTAGGTACTTTTAAAATAAATGAGAATTACCTTTGTGTCTTAAAACCGAGTGGCTCAAACTTGGATCTGTCGCTCTTCAATGACATGGACTCAGACGAAGCCGTCGACTGTGAACTAGACAGAAAATAATTCATATGAAACATTTTTGATAGCGATATCATTTCACTGAATGTGTCTCGTTGTGTCTTACTGTCTGACAGTTCAATCAAATTATGACAACAAACCCCAAACACACTTTTCATGGCTCATTCTTGTAGATATAAACATGTTCACAAATACATCACTCTTAGCAATTTCAACCCCCTGTACTAAAATGAAACAACGACCTCCACAACAACAACAACCTCTCCATTATGAAGATCGGCTTAAATCAATACACCACATGATGGGCTGAGAGTAGATAGGTAGTGGTGGCTGGAAAGTCCTTTTTTAATTTAAATGAGAATTACCTTTGTGTCTTAAAACCAAGTGGCTCAAACTTGGATCTGTCGCTCTTTAAAGAAATATCGCTCGGAGCTGCAGATCCAGGTCCCGTGGACTGTGAACTAAACAGAGAACAGTTTGTTTACTGACTGACATCAATTTATTAATTTTATACTGTTTGTCAGATATCAATTCACCAAAACTTTCAATATAATGAACCATTGTAATTTTAATTTGAAGCATGTCCACAACTCCACATTCTTTTCAGAAGGTACAGTGACAAGGCATTTGTTAGGGTTCATAGATTTACAACCTTTCAAAGCCGAGAGGCTCAAACTTGGATCTGTCGCTCTTACTCATGCTGGGAGTGGTACTCATCTGTGAACTAGAAGGAGATACGGTTTTAGGTCTCAAACATGCCAACCCCCCCCCCAAGATGATCACTTTGATAAATGCCTTAATTCATAAATGTATGTTAGAGATAGATTTTTTTGTTCTGGAGATGCTGGATGAGTTTCAGTAGGATTATCTATATTATAAGCTCTCTTTTTCAGCTGTAATAACACCAGCGAACAGCACAGATTGATTAATTCTCAACACACAATGTGCAACATCAATCTTACAATCTTACACCATAAAGTGAAGAACGGTTAATCAGAATTTGAAGAATCAGTACTTTTTTCAGACTGTCTCTATATGAAGATGCATTTGCTGAATACTGACAGTCTAATTACAAAAGGTCTTAATGGTGAGATCATCCATTAAGCTGTTTATTACCTGGTTGGAGTCTCACTGGACAACTCAACAGACACAGATCGCTTCCTTTTCTTCTCAGTCATTGTTGCTGCTGGGTTGGACAAACATGGCATTCATTGGAAATAGGTATGTAACACCTGTGCAGTTCTGTTCTTACCTGAGGTTTCGGCCACAGTCTTGTGGAGTTATGCAACTGAACAAATATGTTGCTACTAACAATCAGCTGAGTCTGTCACCAGCTGATTTTCAGGGTTTGTTTTCCATTTTATTTACCTAATTTAGTGGTTTGCATTCTTGTGAATTCACAAGTAAATAATCAACTTGTAAAGCCCTTAAATCCAGAATCGTAAGTAATACTTTTGTTTATACTTTATCAGAATCTGTTCTCAAATGTTTTTGTACAATCTAGGGGAAAAA